TCGGGCGGGACAAACCGCTGGGCACGGCATTCGACAGGTGCGAAGAGCACACGCACGCGGCAAGGCACAAAACCTTCCACTTCTCTCTGTTCCCTGTAGGAGTATGACCCTTTCGTGCATCTCGACTGCCCACTTCTCCAAGATCGTCGACTTCGTCGACTTCGCCCGAAGACAGCGCATCGCTCCCCGAGGGTCCCGCGTGCGAGCGCCCACCGCCCCGCCCAGCAATCAGCACCAACTGCGACTCGACCTGCAGATGTACGGCCTGCAGACGGCGGACATCTACACGCCCCTCATGCTGCCCCACGAGATGGAGGCCGTCATCGAGATGACCGGCAAACAGAACCCCAAGACCGAGCTGCTCTTCAAGTGAGGCGATGGCCACACAAGGCAGACAGAAGGAGAGGAAACTGTGCACCTATGTGCTGTGGTGGTCGTCAGGTCGAGCCGTGACGGCAAGACGTATCCAACGATGCTCAGCAGCGTCAAGGGCAAGAGCGGTCTGCTGGTAGCGATGCAAGACGGCCACACGCACCGCTTCGGCGCCTTCATCGACGGGGAGCTGACACCGCCAGACGACCCCACACAAAGCACCGGCCCCTGTGACGTGTCGGTCTTCTTCTATGCACTCAGTGGGCCGTACAATGCGCCTACCAAGATCGACCTGCCGAAGGAGTACCAGCTGGTGGACGTGGCCGGCACACAGGGGGCGTTGAAGGACGACAACCATGTGCCGCGTGCGAATGTCTGGATCGCTGGCGGCTGTCTGTGGCTGGGAATCGCCCGGCCTGGTCCGGCGGCCGACCTCAGCAGCTGCTGCCAGTGGATCGACAAAGAGCATTTGCCGGCGGGATATCGAGGCAGGATCAACTGGCAGGGCAGCGGCACATTGGCGCAGTCCTGGGACTTCGAGTGCACTGAGATGGAGGTGTGGCAGCTGGGCCAGGATCGGTGAATCGACCGACGGCACTCACATCGACAGCGGCAGAGGCAGGTGAGACCCCGCTACACCAACACACCACCAGCAGAGAGGAGCGAACACACTGCTGGCCGTGTTGTTGTCCCTCTGTGTGTGTATGTGGGCTGCAGGCAGTTTGCGTAGAGAGTTGGAGGATTGCTGAAGCTTGATTGATGGCCGCTACTGGGCAGCTTCAGAGCACAACACAAAGTGGATGGCCGATCAGAGGTAGAGAGACAGACAGAGGGTGGCGGCCGGCTGACAAGTGGGACTCTGCCGCTCTATTGATGCAATCAATCTTCATTCGTGTGTGCATCGTCTTGACACATACCGATCATACCGATTACACGTACACACACAGAAAAATACTTGCAATACCCCCCCACACCCACACACGCTTCATGCATCTCTCGGCAGTCCGTCTACACCCTGGGCGCCCGACTCACTGCCATCCTTCTCGCTCTCGGCTTGTCTTTCTAAGGCTAAACCAAAAGCGATCAACCAATGACCAGCCACCCGTCGACCACCCGATGTGCTAACTGTTCAGCTCCTTCTGTCATCCATCCACACCCTCAACACCCATCGCGTAGCCATCCCTGTACCCGGCAAGCCACCCTTCCACATATGCGTCGAACAGCGCCTCATCGGCTTTGGCAGCCTCCATGTTCTCCTCCTCCGTCTTGTCGCTGTCCTCGACGAATTCGTACCTCACCAGCCTGACGGATGGATGGATGGATGGATGGATGGAGGGAGGGAGGGATGGACAGGCAAACAAGTGACAGAGTGTCGCTGTGTGACTTACGTGAACTTGAACTCGTCGTCTCCTATGGGCTCGACAAGAACGGAGGCCGACGGACTCAACGAAGATTGGCTGCTCGGGGGATACGACGCACACATGATACCGTAGGCTCATGCTGTGTGTGTGTGCCTCTAGCCACTCACCACGGTTCGCGGGTCACCATCGGCTCCTGATGCTGCTGCTGCTGCTGCCCCTCACAAACACTGTCCTCCTTGCTGCATGAGAGATGCCATGCGCACATAAGATATGCAACACCCCAGACACACACCGCAGTGCCCTCTTACACGTCGTGCGGTCCCTCCTGGTTGCTGCGCTGCTGCTGCTGCTCCTCCTGCTGCTGCTCCTCTCGCCTGGCCTTCCTCCGTTTCTTGAGTTGAGCTCCGCTCGGCCTCTCCTTGCGCTTCTTGGCCTGGGGCTCCTCAGTGACAGCCGCCACCTCATCAGCTATCTCACCCTCCTCCATCGACGCTGGGATCTCCACCTCTGAGGTGGCCATCTCTGCTGACTGTGAGACCCGGCCGAGAGTGCGAACAGATCGATGGCTGGAAGAGTGAGTTCCCGTGGGGCCATCTCTGCAGGGCACGTGACTGGGCTCCGGGTTAGGACAGGTGTCTCGTCCAACCGTTAGTCGTCAACCGCACCTGACCGACCTGACGGGAATTTTCGGCCGCATTTGACAAAGCGCCCCGCGATGTCGGCAGCCGCCGCCGCAGCAGCGTCCGGCAGCTCCAAAAAGCGCAAAGACAACGACAGCAGGGCGGCTGATGACGAAGCGGTCGTGCCATCTCGCCTTCACGGTGTCACAACTGGTTCGGAGGACGCCGATGATCTGGTCAAACAAGCTGCGGGGGGTGTTGACGCCTTCCGCCAGATCACCAGGACCGCAGCGGCCAGCGCCGAGAAGGAAATCGAGGTAATCAGCTCGGAGATCAAGCAGCTCATCACCGCCAACGGAGGCACCATCGAGCCGCAGCAGAAGGACGGCCGCATGCGGCTCAATGTGGGCGGCACGGTCTTTTCTATCCCGGTGAAACGGCTCCTCCTTCCGAAGATGAAGACGACGTACCTCTCGACGCTGCTGCTGCACTTCACTGACCAGCTGCCAAAGGACGCCAATCAGCTGCCCTTCCTCGAGATGCATCCGGCTTACTTCAAATGGCTGCGTGACCACCTGGCGCTGCTCGAGAGCCCCCATTTGGATGAGATCAGCCTGCACTCACCGGAGGCCGCCGATCCCTCTTATGCCGAGTACCACAGGCTGTTCATGCGGACGCTGGGCGGTGCCATCGAGATTGGCATCGAGGAGCAGCCACAGGCGACCGGCACATCGGCTGCAGCAGCGGCATCGGCAGCTGGAGGGGGAGCCGAGGAGGCCAATGTCGAGATGGCCGATGCGGGCGGCGGTGCAGAGGGAGAGGGAGGTGGGAACGATAGCGTGGAGGAGGCCTTTCGGCAGATCGACGAGTGCATGAGCAGCTATCGTCGTGTGCTGGAGGCGCTGCGGGCCAAGAAGCGCCACATAGAGGCCTTCCTGACGGCGATGCGGCCGTTCGTCAAGGGGAACAGCAGCGATGAGGACATCGAGCTGATGACGCTGACGGTCTTCGACGACAAGGTGTCGGTTCTCCGCCGCACCATAGCGCCCCTCGGGCCAACTCATGCACTCGTCAAGCGTTTTGATCCGTGAGCGGGGAGGGAGATGCTCTCTGTTGGGTGTGTCTACGTGTGTGGTGTTTTGTTCTTCAGGACTCAGTGGCCCGACCAGGAGGCCCACCAAGCTTCCCTCAGATTCCTGCAACTCATCGTCGACTTTGCCCGCCGTTTGTATGTCATGCCGGCCAACCGGTTCGTCCATCCGCCAGTGGTGGCGCCGCACGAGAAGGCCATCTTCGGTGTCGAGTTGGGAAGTACGGCCTCAGTTCGATCCCGCCGGTGCCGGCGGACAGCACGATCATCCAGACGGCCGACGAGTGGCTGGCGGTGATGAGGATGACGGACAAGAGGATCGCCGTGGCGCCGTCGCTGCCGTACAAGTGAGCGCAGACAGAGATGCCGGGCACACAGACATCGTTGTTGTGTGTCGTGATCAGGTCGAGTCGTGACACGTTTGGGTATCCGTCCTTCCTCGACAACGTGGCCGGCAAGAGCGGCCTCCTGTTCGCCCTCCGAGATGGGGACACACACCGATTCGGCTGCTTCATCGACGGCCAGATCACACCCCCAGCCGACCCCACAGAGACCAACACCTACAAGGCTCCCGTCTTCTTCTTTCCGCTCTCGGGTGCTTACAATTGGCCGACCAAGATCGAGCTGCCCAAAGAGGCGCAGGAGGTGGAGGTGGCCGGCACAGAGGGGGCGTGACGAACATAGACGGCGAGCCACGTGCGAATGTGCGCATGCGTCGCGCTCCTGCTGGAGTCCTTTGGCTGGGGTATGCCAGGCCTGGCCCAGCGGCGGACCTCAGCAGCTGCCAGCAGTGGATCAAGAGGCAGCACCTGTCTGACGGCTACAATGGGGTGATCAACTCGAATGACAACGGCACGCTGGCGCAGGACATCAACTTCACGTGCACTGAGATGGAGGTGTGGCAGGTGCGTGAGTGAGTGAGAGGCAGAGAGGCACTGGCGGCCGTTGCCAACACCGTGCTGCATGTGGTGTGTGCAGCTGGTGAGCGGCTGATCCTATCTATCGTCTAGCAGCAGACAGGTGAGAAAGAGAGAAGGCAGCTCGCCTCTCCTGGCATGGCACTCCATCTCTCTCTCTCTCTCTCTGTCTTTCCATTGCTGCAGCCCGTCCCTTCCGTCCGTTGTACAGCTGAGGCCGGGACGGCCCCGCAGTTAGCTACCTACTGACGCAGATAGACCCTTCGAGCAAGACCCACAACAACAACTGCTGCTCCATGGGTCCATGGATGGATGGATGGCTGTGTGGATGTCGTGTGCGTGCCATTCATGCCATGCGCTCAATCAGTGCCTTTCCATCGGCCCATTCACCACCATCTCATCTGTCTGTCTGTCTGTCTGTGCGCCTTCAACACACACCCCACATCGATGTGATCACACACACCAGATGTGTACTGTAGGTGTCCTTTCAAACACACGCCTCATCCACACCCACACGCACACAGCAAGCAAGGCTTCATTCCCAAACCACGCACACAGCCAGGCCACGCAATCGGCCGTCTGTCTATTGAACCAGTTTGCCGTTGGGCAGCTCCAGCGGGGGTCTGATTCGCTTCGGCTGCCTATAGTGGTTGTCCCAGTCGTTGACCCGCGCCTCCTCACCGAACTCATCCCACAGCTTGCCCACCTCCAGGCCCTTCTGCTTGGCGTAACCAGGCTGACACACAGACACACAGGCACAGAGGGAAAGGATGAGTGAGGCTCTCTCTGCGAGTGATGTGGTGGGTGTTGTGTTGTGTGTGGTGCGCACCGATGTTTGCACGACCCATCTTGGTTCGGCGGCATCGCCGACTCGTTCGTCTTTCCTGAGGCGGCTGGGGCCGGCCTCGTTGTTGTAGGGCATCACGTCAGTCTGTACGGGCCGTCAACACACATATATACACACACAATCAGCTGCTGCATCCCTCGATGTATGCGTGTGTCATGTGTGTTTCCGTCGACTGACTGACCTTGATTTCCATGACGGTCCCGTCAGACTTGACGTAGATGACGTCCTGCAGCACAACACACACACAAAGACAGTCATCCCATCTGATCACGCGTGTGTGTTTGTGTGTGTGTGTGGCGTGTGTGTGTTCTCCATAGCATCGCGTACGCAGGTGAGGTCCTCATCGCTCGGCGCCTTCTCGGGCCTCTCCTTTCTCATCTGCTCGACGATAGGCATGATGGACCCGGGCGGCAGAGGGTTGCCCCAGTACTCGTCGACGTACTCGATGTTCTTGACCTCGAAGTACTTGTTCCGCGCCGCATAGACCTCCTCCATGTCCACCGGCTTGGTCTTGTGCTCGTTGGCCTCCTCAGCAGTGATGCGGAACCCAACCGGCCGGCCGCGGATCCGAAAGTTGCGCTTGAAAGACGGCTGCATGACGTCACACACAAGACATAGACGCAGACACACAGAGAACAGGCGTGTTTGTGCTTGCTGCATAGGTGTGTGGTGTGCTGTGCATTGGTTACGTTGACAGATGGTCTGAGGGGCAGCTTCTTGTCGAAGCCAAAGTACCGGGGGTTGGGGACGACCACCTCCCGCTCTTCTGCTGTCGCTGGCCCATCTGCGGCCATCGACAGCTGCGACCGAGATGGCCTCGAGGGCATGAGAGCTGGGAGAGCCGCAGGCAGTGTGAAGGCGGCAGTGGGTGAGGGGAACTGCGGAAGGATAAGAAGCACCGTCATGGGCAGCAGTGCAGCCAGCCACATGCTGCCGAAAGGCGAAAGCAGCAGTTCGGCAGGAGGGGAGATCTTCAGCTTCTAAGCTCGCGTGGATGATCGCCGGAGTTTTCGAGATCAAATGAGGGCGTAATCAGCTGCTGTAGTGTACCTTGACCCATCGAGGGCTGAAATCCATCAACTTGTCCTTCCTCAATGCTTTTCAGGAGGCCACACAGCCGAGTGCCGCCAATGCCTGAGCTCAAGATGCCTCCATCGCACCAGGACCAGCAGCAGCGGCCAGCAGTGCACGGAAAGGCAGGCAATGGCTCCATCAGCGGACCGCGCAACTCCCTCTTCCCGGCAGATGCGATTGCTGACATCAGCCCATCGTCGTTCGGCAACCTGAACCACAGCAACAACGAGGCGACGACGACGGCCAGCCCTCGTCACGCTGACGCTGCAATGGGCGCTGAGCTCTTCTTCCTCGACACAGAAGCGACTGACAACAACTACGAAAAGGAGAGAGAGGTGCCGTGGTGGGAGCGTCGCGACGCGCGGGATGGTGTGATCTACGACGATCAGTGGTCGCGTGAGGAGGAGAGTGCGCTGCGCGAGGAGCTGTGGAGCGTCAACAAGTGGGAGGGGGGGATGCGGGAGGGAAACCGCTATTGGGGGGAGAGCAGCAGCAGCAAGGGCGGCCAGAAGAAGATGGAGGTGGTCCGGCAGTATGCCCGGCTGGCGGGGGCATTCTGCGTCTACTGCGGAGGGCTGCATGACGACAGCAGATGGTGAGAGGAGAAGGACAGCACAGCTGGGTGAACGAACAATGGGGGGGGGGCTTCACTTGTCGGGCATCGATCTGTATGTGTGTCAGTGGTAAGAGATGGCGCCGTTGCGGTGCGTGTTATGGGCCTGCGCATCCCTCTCCTGAGGAGTGTCCGCTGCACCGAGGAGGCGCCTTCTGCCGTCGCTGCAACAGCACCACACATGGCACACACTGCCCCCTCATAGTCACATACGACCCGCCACTCGACACACAATCTGCCGGTGAGATGATTGGATGGATGCGTGGACACTTGTTCATGCTGACTCTCTCTCTCTCTCTCTCTGTGTGTGTGTGTGTGTGTGTGTCCAGATGGTGACTCCCCGCTGCACGCCGACTTAACCTGCCTCGTGTGTGGCGCCAAGGGCCACATCGTCTGCGGCAACACCACCACCACCGCCACCGCCACAGCCAGCAGCAGGGACAGGGACAGCAGACGCCAGCTGGTGTGGTGCTGCTCGTGTGGAGATGACGGCCACACGAGCGCCGAGTGCTCCCACACCATGACATACGAGGAATCTGTCCGTGAGAGAGAGCGGCGCGAGAGGGAGAGGCGCGACAACTACAGACAGAGACCAGCATACAACGATGACTACGACCGCCCCTGGCACCGCCCGAGACGCCGCTGGCGTGACGATGAGAGCGTCAGTGAGGATGATGACTCTCAAGACGACCATCGCTATCGCAGCCGCGGCAAGAGAAGCCGGCGGGAGAGCATATGGATGGAGGATGGGTGGGATGGCCGAGAGCAGCAGTGGTGGCGGCACTCACGCAGCAGCAGGTGGGGGTCGTCACGGAGAAGGAGCCGCAGCAGAAGCCGCAATCGCAGCCGGCGGCGATTCGATATGGGATACTAGATGTTTGTCTGTGTGGGTGTGTGGGTGCTTGTACAGCTGTGATGCATGGATGTGTAATATTAAAAAAAAATTAAAAAAAAATTGATGCATGGATGGAGGCAAGCGCGAGGGAGATATCTATGTAGCGGATTGAGAGCGTTTTGCTGCTTTGATGGATGGACAGACAACGGGTGACTTCGCGCACGGCACATCACATGCATACTAGAAAACATGCATGGCAAGCAACATTTCTCGGTCGACCAACACAACCGCGCTCACGAATGAATGAATGAATGCGTGCATGTTGTACATATCTATCTACCTATGCATCGATCGATCGATAGTGTTGTGTGTCTTCACATGGACTACCTGCCCTGCACACAGACAACAGACAGCACAGGTGTCGTGTCGTTTCGGCTTATCTCTCTCTCATTAATCATGGCAACGATGGTGAGCTCTGTACCTTAGGTACCTGCTGCAAGTGAGTATTGACGCTTTCTTACCGCCTCAGCCGCTTTGCACCTGCGCGCACACATCAAATCAGCACAGACGGAGAGGAGGTGTGTCCCCATCCATTCCATATGTCCGCTCCTCCATCCCCTGCCTTACTCACTCACCTGCCACACCTCCATCTCAGTGCACGTGAAGATCATCTTCCGCGCCAGTGTGCCATCGCCGTCTTGATCCCTCTCGCCAGTGTACGTCGCCGGCAGGTCGTCCCGCTCGATGTACAGCTCGCAGCTGCTGAGGTCGGCCGCAGGACCGCGGTCACCGTACCCCAACCACAGGTTGCCGCCAGCGATGCACACATTCGCACACGGCTGGCCCTCGTAGTCCTTCACCGCCCCCTGTGTCCCGGCGACCGTCACCTTCTGGTCCGCCTCGGGCAGCTCGATTTTGGTGGGCTTAGTGAAGGCGCCGCTGAGTGAGTAGAGGAAGAGGGGCACCTCGTAGCTCTCGGTCTCTATGGGATCGTCTGGCGGGATGAGTGGGCCGTCGATAAAGGCCCCGAATCGGTGTGTTTCGCCGTCGCGGAGGGCGAACAGCAGGCCGCTCTTGCCCGCCACCTTGCTGAGGAAGGACGGATGCGCGAACGTGTCACGACTCGACCTAATTGACACACAACAACGATGTCTGTGTGCATCGTTCCCTCTCTGGCTGTTGCTGGCTCACTTGTAGAGGAGTGTGACTGTGGGTGAGTGTTTGCCGGTCATCTCAATGACTTTGCCCCACTCCTCGGCCGACTTGGCGATGAACTCGTGGCCGTCGGCGGCCGGCAGATGGCAATACGGCTGGTACTTCAACCCATACATCTCCTGACACACATGAGAGCGACACAGCTGCTCCTTCCTTTGTGTGCCTCCCTCAATCTCTCTGTGTCACTTACGATGTCCTCCTTGACGAGCCGTTCGTCGCCCTCCTCGACAAGCGGGGGGCGGATGAGTTGACTGTGCGGCATGCAGGCGATGCGTCGGGCGAATTCGACTGTCGTCACGAAGTGCTCTGATGGGGTCTGGTCGACATCGTGACCACCCAAATGCTGAGGCATCCTTAACAGGCAAACAGAGCGTTGTGTACGTTTAGAATGGTGTGTGGTCCCGGTGTCTGACTTACGTCGAGAATCGTGTCAGCAGAGGGTGATTGTGACCCAGGCGCTTGAGCGTCTTCCGCATGATCAACACCTTCCGGCCCATGACCGTCAGGGTGAGAATGCTGTCCGCCTCGCTATCGCCACTGGACAGGAACGGCGCCATGGCCGTCAGGAACTGCCGGAGCTCATCCCTCTGCCACACCAGCGCCTTGTACGCCTTGGCGTAGGCGCGCATGCGCCGCTCGTAGGCACGCACTGAGTCCTGGATGGCCTTCTCGGCTGCATCACCCCCACCCTCTTCCCCCTGGCCGTCGACCTCCATCGGTGCGGCGGCTGCTGCTGCTGTTGTTGCTGCTGCTGCTGCTGCAGGGAGCGGGGTCGGAGTCGCGTAGCAGTCGATCTCGCGCATGAAGAGGGCGTGGTAGTCGGCGTAAAGTGGGTCGGCCGCCTTTGACGGCGGCAGCTCGATGGCCATGGTGCGGCCGGTGTCGATGAGGGTCATCTTGTCCAGGAGGAAGGAGAAGTATGCCGATGACGTCTCGAGGTAGATGTGGCCGTCGGGGTCCTTGGGCAGGCCGCCCGCGTGGTGCATCAGCAGCACTGAGATGTATCGCCGCTTCATGTACGGCCGCAGCAGCGCTGTGCGCTTGACTGGGAACACCTGACCGCCTAAGTACAACGACACGGAGAAAATGAGAGAGATTGGCGGACAGACACACACACATATCCTCTGCCTGTTGCGTCTCACCAGCATTGACCCTGATGACCCCATCTTTCTTAGCCACGTCCCACACGCCGCCCTTCTCAGCCACCAGGGTCCGAATCTCCTCGGCCACGGCCTTGACATCCTCCTTGCTGTCACGGATGGCGCTCGCTGTGTGCTCATGCAAGGCGTCCAGGCTGTTGCTGCAGCGGGAGATGATGCCGTCCACACTGGCGGAAACCGTCAGCACATCGGACGCCGATGCTCCCGCCGCTGCCGCTGCTGCCGCGAACGGCGGCGGCCCTAGTCGGCCCTCCTCTTCTTACTCATTCCTCCATCCATCTCGCTCCTCCATCTGCAGGCAGCGGTTTCAGGGAGCACCCTAGGCGGCCTGGCGGCCAAGTCCCCTGTCGGTCTGTCCAACATGAAAACACGCACCCGAACATGCAACCCGGACACGCAACACGCAGCACGCAGAGGGCAGATGCAGCAAACGGGAGGATATGCAATGCGCTGCGAACGACGGCAACATACAGTGTTGCAGGGGGCCTGAAATAAGGCCGTAGAGTACATCGGATCTGCTGCGCATAGATGATGCTTCGCTGGAAAAGGGAGGGAGGCCTCCTCTGTTGTTAGCCAGCATCGTGTCCCTGGCCAAGGAAAATGACTGGCCGGCCAGGCTATCATTCCCATGGCTATGATGACCATTCCCATGGGTATGGTGACCATTCCCATGGGTATGGTCAGGTCGTCATTTCTGCCCATTCTGCTTCATCTGGTTTCAACAAAAACATCGCTC